AAGGACCCTTGTCTCCTTCTTATAACGTATGAGCTTTCCACCCTTGTCTCCTTCTTATAACGTATAGTAACAGTCGACGCAAAACCCACCAAATCGCTCAAATTCGCCATTTAGAGCCACAGAAACGACAATACACAGCAAGTGAGGTAGGTTTACATTTATTTTGAGCTTTAACTCAGACATTTCATGATTTAAGTTTACGATAATAAGACTCTTCAATATTCTCCCATACGTTCCTTTATATTTTGAATAAACAACCAGACTCGTCGCTTGTCTGGGCCCCCTGTGCTTATTTCGATACGAGTAATCATGACCATCTGCAAGATTCACAAATATTAGTCACAACACACCTACCTGGTTTTCTAACTCTTTCTTCAGTTCCTCGAGCTCGGCTCTGTGAAGTTCTTTTAACGAGGCAATAATTTCTTGTAACTCTTTAATTCCTGCATTGCCCTCTTGGCGCTTGTTTGGAGGTGCCGTGTCCGAAAAAGTCGCTTTCTCTCTGTGGTAATCAGAGAGACCTGGTGATCCTGTAGAAGCATCGGCTTTCTCAAGTACTCTCTTTTTTCAACCTAACTCACTCATCTCATGACATGTCGTCCTTGCATTCGTGCAGTCTTAATATTTCATGTAAAACAAACTGCCTCAGTCGAGTGCAAAACTCGATTTCGACTTGACTCTTGTAGGTTTATTATTATTTGTCTTCAGTTAATTAAGAGAAATCAATTAATAAAAGAGAGTTACAGAATGAAAACACTATAAGAGGAAACCCATGCTTTTCACTACTTTTCCATCTTGAGATACTAATCTGCTAGACCTACGCCAGGGTATTGCTTGATTTTTGAAAAAATACAAAGTTTTCACCACCCACAATATTCTCAATATGGATGACACTTAATTGTTTAGACGGACTGATCTGACCAAGGTGACATCAATTGAAAACGAGTCCTCTCTTCCAAGCTTTATCCCTCAACACCGCACTTACATTTTGTCAATTCTTTAGCCGTTCAGAGGTGTAAGATTGACATCCAAGTTACAAGGAGTCCTCGGCAGTAAGGTTTTCCGAAAACGAGGTACCATCTACAAGAGACAGTTATGCTCTATGTAAGGTATGGATCATTACATATTACATTGCGATCAACTTCATCACAATGAAATTTATCAAAAGCATCTCGACTAGTTAAATCAGGAGCTGAGACCATAAGCGTATATATCGGAAACCTTTCATTATGTACCAAGATCAAAGATGGACATCTAACTTCAAAGGGAGAAAAATATGAAATGACTATCTCAAATTGTGAAACTCGACTCACTGATAAAGAAATAACGAAGATAAAGGCAAAAATAAACTTTTAATACCTTACGAAACGTGTTCTTCCATAACAGACCCAACAATAAATCTTCCGATACACAAACTAAATCATCACTTATAGCAATGATCAACATTTTCTTGGCCCCCATATCATTTGATTCCGGCATCGCCATGTTCTTTGTGAGACGGAGAAAGTCGACACCAAATGGTCTTTATAAGGATCAGTGTTAAGCAACAAGCTTAAAAAGAATTAGACATAAACGTACATTTGTCATCTTCCACTTTTCAGAATGTTACCTTTTCAAGTCCGTTTCACTCTTTTACTCATTTTAGCGATTCCTCAGTGAAAGGTCCCATAATCACTAGGCTGGAGGTGAGGTGGTAAAATTTTCAGACACCTATATCATTAGACCTAAAGCAGAAACAAGGAATTGAGAGATCAAAACAACTTGGGCTTGAGGCAAAGACAGAATTGAATAAAAAAAAAATAACAGACACCAAAATTAGAGAAAAGCGTAAAATTAGGTAACCGCTCTTTTGATATTTACCCGTCATACTACAGCAAGCCTCATATGATCCCCATCATGCAATTTTTCAAAATCTTTGGTGAAACTAAGAGAGGACTAATAATACTCACTAAAAATTCAAATTTCCTCCACTTTGTTTTAAGTTTACCTCAAAATAACTTGAATCTCAGTTGGTCTCTTGACCAAACTTCGTAAAATCATTACAAAATAGAAACTTCAAAATTCCTGAATCAGTGAGCGATATTTTAGCATCCAAACGAGTCTAAACTTGTTGACTCATTTTAATTTTGTGAAATACAATAGGAGTATTTCGTTACTTTTATCCAACTTTTTAGTTGTATCCTATCTCAAAAAAAAGACTTACCTCCTCTATATTGCTTAGGGAAACCATTCTCAGCCACCGACGATTTTTGCAACAGCATGAGCATCACAGATCACGTCTACACGAGAAGTGACAAAAAATCACCAACAGTGTTGGCAACAGCCAAACATTCTATCAAAGGGGGAAAAGCAGCCGCAGAATGCAGTGGAATCTCGAGCTGGATTGAGGTAAGCCACAGGGCTGCCGTGCATATTTTCTTTTAAGGAAAAATCGATTTCATCATTCCAGGGAACATTCAAGCTAGATATTTCTGTATCAAGCGTGGAAGGATAGAAGCTAATGAATCGTTAACTAATGCCATCTTCAGACGAGGCTTCCAATTAACAGTTTAACACTCTTACAGTGATCTTCAGAATGAAGGTGCAATAATAATAATAAGAAAGAAATAAATAAATGATTTAGCAATGGACATCCACTGGGTGGCTATTCTTGTCCACTGTTCCAGATCGAATTGGAATTTGGAATGTTGGTTTTTGCGGAGGGAGGAAAACCGGAGGACCCGGAGAAAAACCCTCGGAGCAAGGACGAGAACCAACAACAAACTCAACCCACATGAGACGCTAGGTCCGGGAATCGAACCCGGGCCACAGTGGTGGGAGGCGAGTGCTCTCACCACTGCGCCATCCCTGCTCCCCAAATGACCATTTCTGAGTGTGCAATAAAGTCGTAAGCACATATTACAGCTACCTTCTAGAAACTATAATTTCATATTTGGTCTTTTTGACATCTTTGAGCCTCTACTCGGCAATACCATTTAAAAAAGAGCACAACTTTCTCCAGCCAGAAAATTTTCACATTTCTTCTTTTTTTAAAGTTTATTACTCCCTCTAGAGTGTGTGAAGGAACTGTGCATCCAAGTTTCGACCCATTGACGGCATCCTATGCAGTACTATCAGGTTAGATAATTTCTCTGCCTCTATGCAAATGATTATCTTACCCACGTTTTAGGCCCTTGATGTCTACGGTCAGTTAGGGCTTGAAATTAGAGAACCAAGCAAAATGAGCAGCAGCTCTCTCATGAAATAAAAATGATACAGGTGCAAGGAGCGATATGACATTCTTTTTGCTCCACGGGGAACTTTACTGATCAAGCATAACCTAATCATGACGAAAAACTTTAGGAAAGTGTCGAAAGATGTTACTTGTCACTTATGGGTGTCTAGAGAATAACGAAAAATTTTTCATGTTCTGAGTGTGGGTGATGGCCATGGATCACATCAGATAGAAACATTTCCATCACGATTCCTGCTCTCAGAGGCACCCAAAAACTACTAGGCAGTCGATATTTATTTTATGTACTAGATGATTGATTGGCGCAGGAAGGCCAAGAAAGGTACATAGTATGAGTTTCAAAGTTTTAAATCGCACCAATGAGGCCATTTTTATAATTGTTCGAAATTGTGGACCACAGGCACTGGGACAGCAGACCGATCTCCCAATCAGTACAATAACTCACTTTCAACCATTCATTTTCCTCCTCTTATCTCAAAAATTGTTTGCGAGGAGGACTGGGCTTATTTCAATGGATATTGCTACAGGAAAGTATCTTCCTGTGGTTCGTGGACCAACAGCGTAAGGTACATGCGCAACCCTGGGAGCTAATCTTCCCGGTATCCACAGTCAAGAAGAGAATTTTTATGTTCAAAGTCTGCTTGGTGGGAAGCATTCATGGCTCGGGCTCCTCGATGAAGGGAAGTTTGTGTGGAGCGATGGAACACCATATGACTTCCATTGTTGGGCGGAACACCAACCAAACAACTTTAATTTTAAACAACAACAAACATATGAAACATATGTGTGAACTGCGGTTATGAGACGTATATGAGAACGATCCTTCGCAGTAAAGCACTATTTGAGCAATAGTGAAAATCAGACCTGAAAAAAATTTCAGGCCTGTACGGTAGAGCGCTGCACTAGTATCGCAGAGGTCAGTGGTTCGAATCCCGTACAGGCCTGAAATTTTTTTCAGGTCTGATTTTCACTATTGCTCAAATAGTGCTTTACTGCGAAGGATCGTTCTCATATACGTCTCATAACCGCAGTTCACACATATGTTTCATATGTTTGTTGTTGTTTAAAATTAAAGTTGTTTGGTTGGTGTTCCGCCCAACAATGGAAGTCATATGGTGTTCCATCGCTCCACACAAACTTCCCTTCATCGAGGAGCCCGAGCCATGAATGCTTCCCACCAAGCAGACTTTGAACATAAAAATTCTCTTCTTGACTGTGGATACCGGGAAGATTAGCTCCCAGGGTTGCGCATGTACCTTACGCTGTTGGTCCACGAACCACAGGAAGATACTTTCCTGTAGCAATATCCATTGAAATAAGCCCAGTCCTCCTCGCAAACAATTTTTGAGATAAGAGGAGGAAAATGAATGGTTGAAAGTGAGTTATTGTACTGATTGGGAGATCGGTCTGCTGTCCCAGTGCCTGTGGTCCACAATTTCGAACAATTATAAAAATGGCCTCATTGGTGCGATTTAAAACTTTGAAACTCATACTATGTACCTTTCTTGGCCTTCCTGCGCCAATCAATCATCTAGTACATAAAATAAATATCGACTGCCTAGTAGTTTTTGGGTGCCTCTGAGAGCAGGAATCGTGATGGAAATGTTTCTATCTGATGTGATCCATGGCCATCACCCACACTCAGAACATGAAAAATTTTTCGTTATTCTCTAGACACCCATAAGTGACAAGTAACATCTTTCGACACTTTCCTAAAGTTTTTCGTCATGATTAGGTTATGCTTGATCAGTAAAGTTCCCCGTGGAGCAAAAAGAATGTCATATCGCTCCTTGCACCTGTATCATTTTTATTTCATGAGAGAGCTGCTGCTCATTTTGCTTGGTTCTCTAATTTCAAGCCCTAACTGACCGTAGACATCAAGGGCCTAAAACGTGGGTAAGATAATCATTTGCATAGAGGCAGAGAAATTATCTAACCTGATAGTACTGCATAGGATGCCGTCAATGGGTCGAAACTTGGATGCACAGTTCCTTCACACACTCTAGAGGGAGTAATAAACTTTAAAAAAAGAAGAAATGTGAAAATTTTCTGGCTGGAGAAAGTTGTGCTCTTTTTTAAATGGTATTGCCGAGTAGAGGCTCAAAGATGTCAAAAAGACCAAATATGAAATTATAGTTTCTAGAAGGTAGCTGTAATATGTGCTTACGACTTTATTGCACACTCAGAAATGGTCATTTGGGGAGCAGGGATGGCGCAGTGGTGAGAGCACTCGCCTCCCACCACTGTGGCCCGGGTTCGATTCCCGGACCTAGCGTCTCATGTGGGTTGAGTTTGTTGTTGGTTCTCGTCCTTTCTCCGAGGGTTTTTCTCCGGGTCCTCCGGTTTTCCTCCCTCCGCAAAAACCAACATTCCAAATTCCAATTCGATCTGGAACAGTGGACAAGAATAGCCACCCAGTGGATGTCCATTGCTAAATCATTTATTTATTT